ATCGTGTATATGTTGTTCTTCGACTGGTTTAGTGTCTATTGCAGTTATGTTGGTTAAGCAAGTTTTTTTTAGCCAGCGTCACAAACATAAGCGCAAGCACAAGAGTCCACACTGAAAAACTCAGATAGAGGATTGGCACTAGGGGATGCGGGTTTTCAGTGTTTGCATCAGTCGGCTCGTTCCGAGTCGCCTATAAAGACGCGACAGATACTTCCTTCCTATCATTCCTCGGGAGCTACTTTTTTTCTCACAAGAAAAGACCGAGGACGAGCAAGTTGTGTCAGACCTCTTGAACTGGAGCTTGTGACAGGAGAAAGCGAGAAAGAATGATAAAACTAAATACAGCTCGACCTTTCCCACTTTAAATCGAGACAAACCTGTAAAACCAAGCTTATCTCCAATAAAGCTTAGAAATCAGAAAAGAGAACATCGCAGTATAACATCGTTTCCTAATACCTGAGAAACGAAATTAATTATTACAAAAAACTGACACATTATCAAAAGTGAAAACGTTGGTTCATCAGCCCCAAGTGGTAGCTTCTCATTTATCTTTATAATAAGACCTAACTTAGAAAACAGTTCCATTACCCAACGGTCATATTATTCTCCATTCTAGCTTCGCCAAATGTACCTAGTTATAATACGAAAACAAAAAAAAGTAATTTAACTTCTCAACAACTTAAACGCACTGTACTGCGACACGCTACCTGTGATCTGTCTTCCTGTATTTCGCTAAGAATTCTCTTGGCTTTACAACTTTTCAGGCAAGTTTTCACAAATTATTCTACAGGCTTATCTGAAAACAAATCTTTCAATTTTTTTTACGGACAAATGCTCTTTACATTCTATATTCTTAATTCTTTGTCTCGACGAATACAATGGTACACATGAAACGCATCTATTCTACCAAGTTTGGTTTGCAGAGGTGTTATCGCTGTATACTGAAATGTGTACACCAATCAGAAAGCTCAGAAATGCAATAGCCCTCGACAACATGTAGCACTTAAAAACGTGTTAGCTATGTTTTACGAGCCAATCAAGTAGCTCGTTGAAAGGCCAACCCTAACATTTGACGTTTTCCAATTTAAATAGAATTATCAACAAAACTAATTACAGTGATTGAGGAGAATAAAGGGTTGTGGGTATATCATTACTCATACGTTGAAATAATTCTCTCTCAACGTTTTATGGCTCGCATACGTGCCTAAAAGAGGAGATCAAGATCGGAGCCATTTCCTCACTGGGCCTTTGGTGTTCTTAGCATAATTTTCTGCTGTGATTATACAGGTACTTCGGAGAATCCTCCAGATACCTTTCGGCTTTCGCGAAGAACGGGCCGTTGAGCATTTTGCCCCGAGCACGATTCGTCAAACACAAGGTTATCATTATGTTTTTCTTATAAACAGCATGACTTCACCATACTAGATCTCTTGACCACTGTTCTTACGGCAACGTGCGAAGAGTGGGACTGGGGAGCAGGATCACCGCGCGTCCCTAGCGCTGTTGCACAGCATAGGCCGATCTGACCAATAGGTGCGAAGCCGTCATCTGCAACCGGAAGTCTCATCATGAACACTCCTACACTAGCGTTCTGGTTTTCCATTGGCTGAAGAACGATAGCAGAAGATGGTTTCTGCACCAAAAGAAAAAAAAAAAGTTCAAATGTTGTTGTTTATGGTGGTCAAACTAGCTAATTCACAGGCATGCTACTTAAACTGAAAGAAAGAAATATTTCAACTGAACACAATAGGCTTAAAAATCCCAACTAGCGGGAGGTAAACCAGTTGGCTATTTACAAACATGACCAGGAGTTGAACTAGGGCCTACCAAGAAACAACCTCAGCTAAGTGGTCAGAGCAGAACTTGAACCCGTGACTTCCGGATTTAAGTCCGGCGCCCTGACCACTCGGCGACGCTGCCTCCGGCAATAATAACAATAACGATAACAATAACAATAACAATAACGATAACGATAACGATAATAATAAAAAAATAAACACAAAAAATTTAAAAGACTTAAAACAGTCAGCGCAACTCGTTCCAGGCTCCAGGCAATTGCCCAGTCCGCGTTTTGGGGCAGACGTGGTGTTAATATGCAATAAGGAGTGACGTCAAGGCGAGGCAAAAACTTTGGAGTGCTTTTGCTGTTTAGTACTAATTGCACTCTGTTCATCGGAAAATCTTCGTGGATTAAGACCGATTTCTGAAAAGGTCTCTTGCAATTTATTTGTAATTTTGATCGCGTGCTGGTACATTTTAGACCGTTGAATAGCTTAAGAAGGTCTTGCTGACCTCTGAAAATGGAAATTTTCCTTACTTTACTTAACCTACCTTGCACGTTTTTCTTTCATTGTGATCTGAGAAAGCCAAACAGACTTTAGCAAACGGTCGACTGGCCATCAGTTTCATGTCTTCAACTCGTTGCTGGGAACAAGAAAACCGGTATAAATTGAACGAAGCAGAAGATAAAATAATACAAAAGTGGTTTACTAATTGGCGACTTTGAAAAGGCAATGTAGTTCGCAAAACTAAACGTTGGAGATCTTGTTGATTTTTTTTCCAAAACTAAGTCACTGGTATGGATAATGGTAGAGAAAATAATGATGCGTCATAAGGGAACACATTGTTACAAACTAAAACGTTTCAAAACTAAATTTGGCTTGGCAAGCAAATTTCACTTTCAGTTTGCCATGGCGCTGCGAAAACGGCTTGTAATGAGATACATGAACCAGTGGGTAACATCATAAACCGACTTACCCTTGCCATAACGTAGTTTGAATACTTCACTTTGATCTTCCATGCCAAAGCCACTACGAACAAAAGCGAGAAGAAACAACTGCAAATAACAAAGGAAAAAGAAACACTCCAGAATTACTCAGTACCACAAAAATACTTGCAAAAGTTTCATGTAGCCTACTAACTTAACAAACGTCTTTTTCAGCCCATAGTCAAATCTCCAAAGATATCAAAGTGCCTTCTGATTGGTTGATAAGAATCAGAAACTGGTCTCGGGCCTCTAAGAGTATTTGCCGAGAATAGCGTGGCACAATATTTCAACTAAGCCCTGTTCGGCATTAGGGCTCCTCTGTCTTTCACAAATAAGGAATTGAGAGGTCACACGGAAAGACCATTGAAAGGTTGTTATAATAAAATAAGTAATCTTAAAAATTAAACTCACGCAAAAAACGTGATGAAGAAGCTGAGAATTAGAAACGGCTTCTGGATAAAGGAAATCTGTAAGAAACAACCAAAAGAAAAATAGGTTTGGTTAGTTCCCTGTGATCATCCATTAATTTTATGAGTTAAGACAAGTCTACGAACCTAGTCTCCCACAACTGCTGGCGTTTTGCATTCTAGTTTCTGAAAGCATCGCCACTGACCCAGATGGGGTGCTAGTTCACAGCAGATTTAACCCACCCTCCAACCTTGATTTTATTAGGTTGCCCCATTAGCTTACTCAGAGGGGTTTCCAGAAAAAAGTGTTGTTCGTAAATACAAATTTCAACATTCTGAATGTGATCACCATTGGTACGCAAAATAATTTCTGTTTCCACATTTAAATCAAACTGTTCCTCACTTAGATAGAATTGCTGCCTCTGGACTATAGGAAACCGCTTTCGATGAAAGCATGAGTTTGTTTCGAAATTTCTAAAGTTCATTATCGTAATAAAACCAGACTATATCGCGTCACAACCCACAGGCAGCTTCAACAGACTAGTTTGCGTTTCATTCCCCTCCATTTAGCTGGGGAAGGGATACAGAACGAACAATCCAGTTGAATGGCAACACCCGGACCGAGATGGAATGCCTGGCTAGGGACAGAGGGGACTGGAGAAGTTTGCTCAGGCCTCAGATCAGATCCCATCCACGATTTTCAAAAGAGGATAAAAATACAATATGGCGTTAACAAAGCGTGTGAAACATAATCAGAGACTGACTACTCAACACAAGACATCCTAACAACTGTCACTTGAGTCGTCACGCAGTGCTCCTCTCAAGCGTGACGATGCCTACAGGGCATGCAGAGAACACAAGCTTTATACTACACTCACTTTAAGGCTGATGAATCCTTTGATATCAAAAACGTGCACTTTAAAAGTAAATCGGTCAGGATCACCAAAGTTGAAGGCTTCGTGTGAAAACGTTTGTTTGAAGACGCCTATTCGTTGAAACGACACGAGCGTTACTTCTTCTTGGACATCTGCAAGTAACAAAAAAGAACGCATCTCTCAATTGTACTGTTTTCACTTCACCTAACACCAGAAAATAATATTTACCGCGCGTTCTTGGGGCTATGATTAATTACTCTACGACTAAAAAATAAACAAACAAAAAAAAAATGATCAAGCTAAACACGAAATTGCTGATTTTCCTTTCAAGTGCACACGAAGGGTTCGCACCTCAGCACTACCAGTGAAGATAGGAACAAACCAAAACAAAACCAACATAAAAACTTACGCACAAAAACACAAACAAACGTCTGAATGCCCTCTGTGGTTCTTCTCCTATTTCAACCGTGTTCCTTTTGTGGAGAAATTTTCACTCGAACAAAGGTCAAAAAACGTCTACCAGCCACTGAAAAATGAATCTATGTCTATCTTGCACAATCCTAACTATTGCGGGTGTTCCTTTCTGACCTATTATTACACCTTCGAAGTCCATTCACATGTACCTCTACAAACAGCTCATTGATTCCCTAACTGCCTTGATTTGAGAACATTTTTAAACATCAGAAAAATATCATAGCTTCTTCAAACTGAGACAACTCTGGATTGAAAGAACTCACTTGGGGACTCTTTCAGAAATGAAAGGCTGAAGTCGTGCTGAGTATGAATAAGATTGAATTAGGACCTTGACAGACGAGAGCGAGAATGACTTAAAAGCCAGTGTGTGAAGCAAGGTATTGATAACAAACAGAAAACTATAAAAAAATGGGTTGCTGGTAAATTAAGTTCTCCTTTCAAAAGGAGAACTACTTAAGCTATCGATGACAAAAACTTGTCCATACATGTACAGTACCTAGTTTTTTCAAGTCCGTGAACCTTTTTGTCGAGCGCTAAAGGTATCATAAGGTGTTTGCTCCCTGTTGTTTCAGTGCCGAAACATGCAACAAAGGTTAACCAAGCCAACAATGATTTCCAAGGTCTCCATAACTTCTAGTTATCGATAGCTNTACATATACACCTTTAGTGCAAAGCCTGACAATTCATCTTGGTATAAAAAGTACAATAATGTTAAAAAAGCATAATATACATAACCATGAGCTGACATTGCGTGAATAAAATAGTGAAGGGATCGTGTATATGTTGTTCTTCGACTGGTTTAGTGTCTATTGCAGTTATGTTGGTTAAGCAAGTTTTTTTTAGCCAGCGTCACAAACATAAGCGCAAGCACAAGAGTCCACACTGAAAAACTCAGATAGAGGATTGGCACTAGGGGATGCGGGTTTTCAGTGTTTGCATCAGTCGGCTCGTTCCGAGTCGCCTATAAAGACGCGACAGATACTTCCTTCCTATCATTCCTCGGGAGCTACTTTTTTTCTCACAAGAAAAGACCGAGGACGAGCAAGTTGTGTCAGACCTCTTGAACTGGAGCTTGTGACAGGAGAAAGCGAGAAAGAATGATAAAACTAAATACAGCTCGACCTTTCCCACTTTAAATCGAGACAAACCTGTAAAACCAAGCTTATCTCCAATAAAGCTTAGAAATCAGAAAAGAGAACATCGCAGTATAACATCGTTTCCTAATACCTGAGAAACGAAATTAATTATTACAAAAAACTGACACATTATCAAAAGTGAAAACGTTGGTTCATCAGCCCCAAGTGGTAGCTTCTCATTTATCTTTATAATAAGACCTAACTTAGAAAACAGTTCCATTACCCAACGGTCATATTATTCTCCATTCTGGCTTCGCCAAATGTACCTAGTTATAATACGAAAACAAAAAAAAAGTAATTTAACTTCTCAACAACTTAAACGCACTGTACTGCGACACGCTACCTGTGATCTGTCTTCCTGTATTTCGCTAAGAATTCTCTTGGCTTTACAACTTTTCAGGCAAGTTTTCACAAATTATTCTACAGGCTTATCTGAAAACAAATCTTTCAATTTTTTTTACGGACAAATGCTCTTTACATTCTATATTCTTAATTCTTTGTCTCGACGAATACAATGGTACACATGAAACGCATCTATTCTACCAAGTTTGGTTTGCAGAGGTGTTATCGCTGTATACTGAAATGTGTACACCAATCAGAAAGCTCAGAAATGCAATAGCCCTCGACAACATGTAGCACTTAAAAACGTGTTAGCTATGTTTTACGAGCCAATCAAGTAGCTCGTTGAAAGGCCAACCCTAACATTTGACGTTTTCCAATTTAAATAGAATTATCAACAAAACTAATTACAGTGATTGAGGAGAATAAAGGGTTGTGGGTATATCATTACTCGTACGTTGAAATAATTCTCTCTCAACGTTTTATGGCTCGCATACGTGCCTAAAAGAGGAGATCAAGATCGGAGCCATTTCCTCACTGGGCCTTTGGTGTTCTTAGCATAATTTTCTGCTGTGATTAAACAGGTACTTCGGAGAATCCTCCAGATACCTTTCGGCTTTCGCGAAGAACGGCCCGTTGAGCATTTTGCCCCGAGCACGATTCGTCAAACACAAGGTTATCATTATGTTTTTCTTATAAACAGCATGACTTCACCATACTGGATCTCTTGACCACTGTTCTTACGGCAACGTGCGAAGAGTGGGACTGGGGAGCAGGATCACCGCGCGTCCCTAGCGCTGTTGCACAGCATAGGCCGATCTGACCAATAGGTGCGAAGCCGTCATCTGCAACCGGAAGTCTCATCATGAACACTCCTACACTAGCGTTCTGGTTTTCCATTGGCTGAAGAACGATAGCAGAAGATGGTTTCTGCACCAAAAGAAAAAAAAAAAGTTCAAATGTTGTTGTTTATGGTGGTCAAACTAGCTAATTCACAGGCATGCTACTTAAACTGAAAGAAAGAAATATTTCAACTGAACACAATAGGCTTAAAAATCCCAACTAGCGGGAGGTAAACCAGTTGGCTATTTACAAACATGACCAGGAGTTGAACTAGGGCCTACCAAGAAACAACCTCAGCTAAGTGGTCAGAGCAGAACTTGAACCCGTGACTTCCGGATTTAAGTCCGGCGCCCTGACCACTCGGCGACGCTGCCTCCGGCAATAATAACAATAACGATAACAATAACAATAACAATAACGATAACGATAACGATAATAATAAAAAAATAAACACAAAAAATTTAAAAGACTTAAAACAGTCAGCGCAACTCGTTCCAGGCTCCAGGCAATTGCCCAGTCCGCGTTTTGGGGCAGACGTGGTGTTAATATGCAATAAGGAGTGACGTCAAGGCGAGGCAAAAACTTTGGAGTGCTTTTGCTGTTTAGTACTAATTGCACTCTGTTCATCGGAAAATCTTCGTGGATTAAGACCGATTTCTGAAAAGGTCTCTTGCAATTTATTTGTAATTTTGATCGCGTGCTGGTACATTTTAGACCGTTGAATAGCTTAAGAAGGTCTTGCTGACCTCTGAAAATGGAAATTTTCCTTACTTTACTTAACCTACCTTGCACGTTTTTCTTTCATTGTGATCTGAGAAAGCCAAACAGACTTTAGCAAACGGTCGACTGGCCATCAGTTTCATGTCTTCAACTCGTTGCTGGGAACAAGAAAACCGGTATAAATTGAACGAAGCAGAAGATAAAATAATACAAAAGTGGTTTACTAATTGGCGACTTTGAAAAGGCAATGTAGTTCGCAAAACTAAACGTTGGAGATCTTGTTGATTTTTTTTCCAAAACTAAGTCACTGGTATGGATAATGGTAGAGAAAATAATGATGCGTCATAAGGGAACACATTGTTACAAACTAAAACGTTTCAAAACTAAATTTGGCTTGGCAAGCAAATTTCACTTTCAGTTTGCCATGGCGCTGCGAAAACGGCTTGTAATGAGATACATGAACCAGTGGGTAACATCATAAACCGACTTACCCTTGCCATAACGTAGTTTGAATACTTCACTTTGATCTTCCATGCCAAAGCCACTACGAACAAAAGCGAGAAGAAACAACTGCAAATAACAAAGGAAAAAGAAACACTCCAGAATTACTCAGTACCACAAAAATACTTGCAAAAGTTTCATGTAGCCTACTAACTTAACAAACGTCTTTTTCAGCCCATAGTCAAATCTCCAAAGATATCAAAGTGCCTTCTGATTGGTTGATAAGAATCAGAAACTGGTCTCGGGCCTCTAAGAGTATTTGCCGAGAATAGCGTGGCACAATATTTCAACTAAGCCCTGTTCGGCATTAGGGCTCCTCTGTCTTTCACAAATAAGGAATTGAGAGGTCACACGGAAAGACCATTGAAAGGTTGTTATAATAAAATAAGTAATCTTAAAAATTAAACTCACGCAAAAAACGTGATGAAGAAGCTGAGAATTAGAAACGGCTTCTGGATAAAGGAAATCTGTAAGAAACAACCAAAAGAAAAATAGGTTTGGTTAGTTCCCTGTGATCATCCATTAATTTTATGAGTTAAGACAAGTCTACGAACCTAGTCTCCCACAACTGCTGGCGTTTTGCATTCTAGTTTCTGAAAGCATCGCCACTGACCCAGATGGGGTGCTAGTTCACAGCAGATTTAACCCACCCTCCAACCTTGATTTTATTAGGTTGCCCCATTAGCTTACTCAGAGGGGTTTCCAGAAAAAAGTGTTGTTCGTAAATACAAATTTCAACATTCTGAATGTGATCACCATTGGTACGCAAAATAATTTCTGTTTCCACATTTAAATCAAACTGTTCCTCACTTAGATAGAATTGCTGCCTCTGGACTATAGGAAACCGCTTTCGATGAAAGCATGAGTTTGTTTCGAAATTTCTAAAGTTCATTATCGTAATAAAACCAGACTATATCGCGTCACAACCCACAGGCAGCTTCAACAGACTAGTTTGCGTTTCATTCCCCTCCATTTAGCTGGGGAAGGGATACAGAACGAACAATCCAGTTGAATGGCAACACCCGGACCGAGATGGAATGCCTGGCTAGGGACAGAGGGGACTGGAGAAGTTTGCTCAGGCCTCAGATCAGATCCCATCCACGATTTTCAAAAGAGGATAAAAATACAATATGGCGTTAACAAAGCGTGTGAAACATAATCAGAGACTGACTACTCAACACAAGACATCCTAACAACTGTCACTTGAGTCGTCACGCAGTGCTCCTCTCAAGCGTGACGATGCCTACAGGGCATGCAGAGAACACAAGCTTTATACTACACTCACTTTAAGGCTGATGAATCCTTTGATATCAAAAACGTGCACTTTAAAAGTAAATCGGTCAGGATCACCAAAGTTGAAGGCTTCGTGTGAAAACGTTTGTTTGAAGACGCCTATTCGTTGAAACGACACGAGCGTTACTTCTTCTTGGACATCTGCAAGTAACAAAAAAGAACGCATCTCTCAATTGTACTGTTTTCACTTCACCTAACACCAGAAAATAATATTTACCGCGCGTTCTTGGGGCTATGATTAATTACTCTACGACTAAAAAATAAACAAACAAAAAAAAAATGATCAAGCTAAACACGAAATTGCTGATTTTCCTTTCAAGTGCACACGAAGGGTTCGCACCTCAGCACTACCAGTGAAGATAGGAACAAACCAAAACAAAACCAACATAAAAACTTACGCACAAAAACACAAACAAACGTCTGAATGCCCTCTGTGGTTCTTCTCCTATTTCAACCGTGTTCCTTTTGTGGAGAAATTTTCACTCGAACAAAGGTCAAAAAACGTCTACCAGCCACTGAAAAATGAATCTATGTCTATCTTGCACAATCCTAACTATTGCGGGTGTTCCTTTCTGACCTATTATTACACCTTCGAAGTCCATTCACATGTACCTCTACAAACAGCTCATTGATTCCCTAACTGCCTTGATTTGAGAACATTTTTAAACATCAGAAAAATATCATAGCTTCTTCAAACTGAGACAACTCTGGATTGAAAGAACTCACTTGGGGACTCTTTCAGAAATGAAAGGCTGAAGTCGTGCTGAGTATGAATAAGATTGAATTAGGACCTTGACAGACGAGAGCGAGAATGACTTAAAAGCCAGTGTGTGAAGCAAGGTATTGATAACAAACAGAAAACTATAAAAAAATGGGTTGCTGGTAAATTAAGTTCTCCTTTCAAAAGGAGAACTACTTAAGCTATCGATGACAAAAACTTGTCCATACATGTACAGTACCTAGTTTTTTCAAGTCCGTGAACCTTTTTGTCGAGCGCTAAAGGTATCATAAGGTGTTTGCTCCCTGTTGTTTCAGTGCCGACACATGCAACAAAGGTTAACCAAGCCAACAATGATTTCCAAGGTCTCCATAACTTCTAGTTATCGATAGCTTAGTCTTCAAGACATCAAGTGTGCGAAAAAGGTTTAGAATTGTGGAAAACTAACTTTCTAGTCTGTCGAGGCCCAAAAATCATCTTTTCATATGAAACATACACCCTACTGCAACAAAATGAATGCTTCGACTGGCTCTAAAACGTCTGAATAGCGGCCAGTCATACTGTGTCATACTGTATGGCGAGTGTGAAATTTGCGCAAATCTTACCTGAGCTGATTGACAGATTCAGAAAAGCAGAATCGCCGCTCTTAATCTCCACAGTAACCTCTACGTCAACGTCATCCTGTAAAAAAAACATAAAATGCCTGATGATGCACTGCAGGGTAACTTACTTTTTTGTTTTGTTTTGTTTTTTTTCTCAAATTGTTATTACCAAACCAACATGAAAATAGAAACAAAACATTCACAGGTAATTAAGGTACCTTTTACAACCTTTCTTTTTGGTGTCATCCTTCCAAACCTGAAATATCACAATGGTGTGTTCAACATGAACACAACTAGCAAAGACAGTGTCTTACCTTTTCTGGAACGTTCAGGAAACTGATTCTTGTCTTGTTGGACACATTAAACGTGTACTCATAATTACGTTCAAGTTTATCTGCCAACAAAAAGTCATTTCACTGTCAAGGACATTAAGAAAGTAGTTGTGGTACTTTGAGACAAGGGTTACACCCCTACCTTGTGTAAGCCAAGAAAATAACGCGCTATAAAAATATGCTTACTGTGTTGACGCTGATTAACAATTCAATTTACGGTACGGACACTCGAACTGTGAACATTTGATATTTCTTTCGTACATTTTTCTGGTAACTATAGAATGAAGGCTCTTCATAATTGTAATGCAGAAGATTAGCATTTTACAGTATAAAACGCTGAATAATCTTGTTAATATAACGAGCCTCATTGTATAGTCACGAAAAAAACGTACAAAAAAGGTCAAAGTGTTCACGGTTCAGGAATACTTACTGTAAGATAATTTGTTTTGTCGAGCCTAATTTTTTCTCCATTTCAATTGCACCTCGCGTGAAGCGACGAAAACCCGATTTCACTTAGAAATAAGAGCAGAACTTGAAAATGTCTCCAGGCAAGAGATCAGAACCTTAAGCAGGTGATACTCATGATAACATTCCTTTAACGCAGCTTCAGTAGGCTGGAATGGCAATTAATACGTAACCTTAACAATTATTGTTAGGTTTCCACTGTTGCAAATGTCTTCAAGGGCGACGTGTGAGTGGTGCGTGTCACTTGATTTATCGTTGCTGCGTTTTTATCAGTATAGTTTTCTGTGTGCCCACTGAATTGAACGGCAGAAAGTTCCTCGAACAACAAACACGGGAGGGGTTTGTAAACAATTCTCTAGGATCCTAAGTCCATAACAACACCATGCACTCACTATAACAATGGCCGCCATTTGTAGCGTTACCAATGATGTCTGCATCATTTTCCCGCTCATCACAACTGTGTTAAGAAAAAAACACAAACAAAAAAGAGAGTTAAAGCAGTCTACCCAGTACGACTATGAAAATAATTACACGGAATCCCTTGTCAAAAGTTCCAGTCTTCCTTAATCATGACACAGAACGAAAGTGAGGTTACGGTAAATAACTGGTACGGCTTGGGTTTAAAGCTTGTAAACTATGGGACAGTGTGCAGAATCTGAAGTGTTTCCATACTTACAAATATTCAGCAAACACATCACAAGCGGCTACAACAGCTTATCACGGCGTTACTCTCACTTACATGTAGCAAGCTTTCTTGTGAAGATAGGCTACAGAGCAAATTGCTGCACAAGGATTAAATACACTGGAGAAAACCAGGAACTTAGAATTGCGATGAACAAAGCGTAACTCTGAATATTAATAGTGCCATCGTTGAGTGAGAGCGCCATAGTTTTCAAAAATAAGTGAAGCCAAACCTACATGTACATGTACATGTATTGCAGGTTATGAGTAGTCACTGACTTTTGCAATCTAATCTAATCCAAGGCTGGGACAGGTTACCTCTCACAGTGTTCTCCAGTGACCCAGCGGGTTAAACATTCACAGGTTCCAGTCACCACGTCACATGTCTCGGCGTGGCCATTACAATTACACCCTTGAAACAAAGCAAACAGTTTGGTTGAAAAATACCCGACAAAGGTCATCTAGAACTCAATGTAGATGTACATTACATCAAATCGCGTTTTTCTTCTTTGAAACTGGTCATTATCAAAACTTCCCAGAGCCACGTTGATTGGTCCGTACTGGACAATCATTGGTATACCGAATCTCCAATTTCATTCGGTTCAAATAAAAGAAACTGTGTAACGGATTTTAGCCACATTTAGACTAAAGCTTACCGTATACCTTAAGAGGCGTCTCGCGTCCAAGCGATGTGGCGCGTCCGGTTTAAACTGTAGATACCTACACCCTCATATCAAATTAAAGCTTACAGAGCTGGCTATCACACTATACCAGGAATTTTGAAATAAACTGAATTGTCGAATGTTTTACGACCTCTAAATGCGAGCGTTCGAATCACCTTTTGAAAGCTACAAGTCAAAGCGACTTTTGCTTTTCGCTTGTATAATTTGTCCCTCCGTTTCCGGACCCAAAGCGCTAAAAACACTTGTCTGTAATCTGCCATATTCAATTTCGGAGAGAAGTTACAGAACATTTTCGAAATAAGGTTAAAAAAAAAGAAACATGGAGTGATCATAGAAAAATCACTCTCCTAGAAAAAAGATTTCGAAATACAAAATTCGCAGACACGATTAAGTTGCCTTTATGCCAAACTAGCTACTGTCCAAATCTGGGGGCAAACCTTTGACCTGTAGCTTTTAAAAGGGACCCAAAAGATGATCCAGACGCTCACATTCAAAGGTCGTGAAAAATTCGACAAATCAATTATATTTTAGAATTCTTGGTCTAGTGTGATAGCCAGCTCTATAAGCTTTAATTTATTGGGGGTTGGGCATCTACAGTTTGAACCGGACGCACTACATCGCTTGAACAGAGACACTTTAAAGGTGCTCTGAAGGTATACGGTAACGTTAAAAAACTGGCCACCAAATTGAGTGAAATATAATTTAAACAACTTTAAACAGAGAAAGAACATTTCAATAACACAGCAAATATTAAAACGGGATGGATGGACAAAATTTGAAGGAAAAAAAAGAAGAAAAACGGATTGCGATATGAGTACAGTGCAGCTCAGATATATCCGAACCAAAATATACTACGCGTAATTCGCGTCAGCCCAATACGCGTATGTATATACGCACATACGCGTATGAATATACGCACATACGCGTATACAGTATATACGCGTATGCCTGATTGGTATGTAAGAGCTAACCTAATGTTTTTTCTTTTCTTTGAAAAACTATTAGGCTGAGCAGTTTTCAAAGTTAATCTCGTTTGTTTGTCACCTTTAATTGTAACGTACGGGAGATTTAATTGTTTGTAATGAAGCTATGGTTTTGTCATTTAGATCCATAGAAGTAACTACTTCGCTAACATTAAGTTCCATAGCGAGTATTGATAAAACGCAAAAAAATAAATGAATAAATAAAAAAATAAAAAATAATAAATAAAAAAATAGTCAAAACTCAGCCATGATACAGTCATGACGTTTAAGTAACGGAGCTCACAGTCAACTTTTATTTTTTGCACAATGAACAAAGAACAGGGATAATGAGAGTACCTTTACATGTTCCACCATTTTTGGCCTCACCAAAATAACCAGATGCGCAAGTCTCGCAGTGCGGCCCTGTAACACAGTGAAACAGTGAATTATGAACGCTATACCCAGTAATAACAAAGGATACAAGATCTATCCTAATTATGATCTGTTGAAAGTAAAGTATTTGTTAAGTACATGTACTATACATTCGCTTTCTTTCCCCACCTCCTGCCCTGAAGGAGGCATAAGAGAGCGATGGGGTGCAAATAGAGAAGGCATCTTAGTAACACGAGGACGAATTTTGATTGGATGATGTAGTTTTATTTTTCGCCAAACAGAAGGTTGAGAGTGAGAAGTGTAATGGTGAACATTCCTACATGGTGCACCGTGCGTATAAGCTGTGTGAAATGGCAAAAGATAACTGACATGAAACGTTGAAAGTCCAAATCCAGCTAACAAAAAAAGATTAGTGCGCGCACACAATACATAACATCATGTACTGTCAATACGACGTCAATATGTACATGTAGGAAATATAGTAACATGGAGTTCTGCTACATTACAACAGAGACAAGGCCTTTGCTCACCGTCTGTGTGATGCTCGCACTTCTTACAGATGTTTTTGTTGATGCATTTGCTATGTCCATTACACTGGCAATCTACAATGGATGATAAGACATATCAGGAGTTGTCTTGCTGTGCACTGCTTTACAAGCAAATAACAATGACATTTTGCATTATACCATTGTTTAAAAGAAAAATCATCCTTTTAGGTGAATATATACTTTTTTAATCCTGCTACAGTATATCGAGTTTTAGAAAGCACAGGAACCAACCAAAAGGAAACAGTCCTCTATACCTAGTGGCAGACTTACTGTTTTTCATAACAAAATGAAAGGATTTTCTTCTATTGGCAGTAACTGCACTCGCATTTGCCAAATCGCACAAAAAGTGCGGTGCTAAGATGTAACCTAAATGTTAATGCAGACCCAAATGAAACGACTGTTGCATTCACTAACTGGATTGTCATTCCAGTGCATTTTGTCACGTTGCCTAAACAACCCGTGGTTACTCACGTACATAAAACTGGAGTACGAGGCGCTGTGAGTCGAAAAATGTCTTGCTTTAGACTGAACACAACATAAGGACTATGGACATGCGTGAATCATGAACCTGAAGCTCTTGATCTCTACACTAATGCATCTTTTATTAACCCAGTGGTTACTAGTAGGTTTAAAACAGTAAGCAAAAGAAATTCCTTTCCATCAACGTACCTGGACACTCTATGAAGTACCAGCGGTTTATTGGGCATTGGTTTAATGAGGCGTTTGTTGGTTTGGTGAAAGGACCATCGTCACCTCCCTCCATACACTGGCCCAAACCAGTCTCTGAACCATCATCACACCAGCCACACTCAGGCAACGTGTGACAGTCATCACAAGTCTTCAATCCAGAACATTTCACAGCTTAACAGAAACAAACACAAATCAGTTGATGAAGTTACAAATTAATGGTCTTGATTTCACGTTGAACAGTCATTTTCTGAGGAGAATCTGCCATTCAACATCTCTAATTGACTAGCCAAGTGAAGTAAACAAGGTAACTGATGATTAGAATCTGGAACAGGAAATTAAAATTAACCACGTCTTTCATTTACGATGCTTCTATGTGGAAGTCCCTGCCCGTTTCAAGACGAATAACGCAATGAACCAATCAGGAGCTAAAGCGCTCAATGAATGCCAAATATGGGAAAGCCAAGAGTTTTGACTATAGAACAAAGAAGCAGGTTTCCTCTGACCTTCAAAAATTGAGTGAGGCTTTACAGAAACGTTTTAAAGAAAGCTTTGTGTTTTTACTTAATCTATACTTAAAGCCAAATCAAACTAATGATTACGTAAATAACTCTCTTGAAAACCAAACTATTCCTTGTCAGTACACATAGATGAGTTTAGCACTGTCAAGGTAGTGAAAAGCGACGGCTGATGTTCTCAGTAAAGTACAGCCATTAGATACTTAAATAATATTTTGGCTTATTATTGAAAAAGAACTGTGTAAACCTTACTGTAGTTGGATAGAGGATACTGGATTATTTTCCCAGTTGACTACAGTAGGGTAATAATTATTTAGTAACTGTGTTGTACTTTACATATGGATCGACAGGATGTACACTTACCTGAACACTGACTCTGGACCCAGCCGCGGCACTGTCCAAAGGGAAAATTAACAGCATAGGCAGTGGTAGCTACACACTGTTTCTCTGACTCACACCACATGCAACGTCTTTTCGAGGTACAGTCATCACACGAGCTCAAATTGTGGCACAAGCGCTCCTCACACAGACCTGCCAGGCAATAAAAACCTGTGTAAGGCCCTGATGCTGGTGCAATGCAATGGTGCAATAGCCAAACTCTCGCATGTAAACAAAAACGAAAGTGTGGCTGAATAGGGCCCTAAAAGGTTGCTCAATGGAATAAAGTCACAGTAATTTTACGTCTCCACTCAGTTCTACATGTGAGTCTTTTGGCTATGTAGAGTAAATTAGTGAATGCATGGAAAGAGAGTAATGTAAATAGTGTAATAATTATTAAGCCATGCTTTTTGCAAGTGAACAGGTTTTCTCATAGGTTTCAATCAGTACTTCAAAAAAGATGATGGTAATGGGAAGACCTGGATTATAATTGTAATTAATGTATACATCGAGGTACAAAAATCACTCACCATCACAGTCAGGTGTTGAAACTTCCTTCCCTTTTTTTGGGCAGTTATCAGGAGAATCTACTTTTTTCTAATGGAAAGATAGAAAAATTACAATATGCATGTATTTAATATTGCATACATACACGTATGTATGTGTTTACAATACACAGGGAAGTACTATGCTGTGGAGTTACATGCATGAAAAAATATTGTGAATATCACTTTCAAAAGAGGTTCCTTAATTTACTAATTCCTCGTTATAATACACAATCTCTCCCCTTGACTCCATAATGTAAAAAGCATAAAGAAAGAAAAATGTACAAACCTGTGATGTGGGGCAATTACCCTTTACACAGATGCCATTGCACCATGAGCAGCCATGTATACTGGATGTACAGCTTCTACAACTCTTACCAAGTTCAAAGCATTTTTCATCAGCTGAATATAAACACAGAAAATGAATAAATGGAGAGAGTCATCTAATTTTTCTGCTGAACACTGTTCTGGGATCATTTGGGAAAGTGCCCAGTCCAAAACTTAGAGAATACTGGACCAGCAATGGAGCAATCTGATTGGTTGATTTTAGTTATTGGCCCTCTGAACTAACTTAGTCGTGTAATAAATCAGACTATAAACATCACCTAGCCCAGGTTGTTAGAAAGGTGGATAACGAGCTAGCCAATGGATAAATCACTTTCTAGTTGATAGCATGGTTTCTTTTGTTAACAATTATCCCCAGGAAAGTAATTTATCTGGCCCCAATACGTTGCTCGAAGGGTGGATAATGCTATCTACTGGATAAATCGCTCTCCAGTGGATACAATGTAAGTGTTCACAAGACAAACCATGTTATCTGCTGGATAGTCATTTATCTGGTGGATAGCGTTATCCAGCTTTCAAACAATCCCGGCCAGGTGGAGAGAGTTATCCAGGCTTTGAACAACTGGAGCCTGTAAGTAATGTGACAAATTTGTATACTAGGTAATCACACGATTTCGAGTGAATTTGTAATACAGTAAGCACAAGTTAATTTTTCACAGGATGACAAAATTTGAAGTTTTGAAATGCACGATAATAATTAAATGTGATTACTTGTTTCAAAATAACACTTGAAAAATAGAGACTACTGCACATGTATTTGGAGCTTTTGGCTGGACACTAGTTGATTGCTTAGATAACATGTATTGCTTGTCTTCAGAAATTTCTGGAAATATTCATGAAACTTCTTATAAAGTTGGAAAATCTTAGGCAATATTCAGATGATATTCGTAACCCTTTGAATGGGTTCAGGTGATCTTTGAAGGTGTTGGCAAATTTTGGGTTGATATTCATAAATCTTCGGAAAAGTATGGGTGCTGGTAGTATTTACAAAAAACAAAATTTATGTTCTGGCTCAAACTCCATATTAACCTGAGATCTTTGGTTGAACACAACGTTCTGGTCCAAGACATGAAGAAGTGGAGTCATTCCACACACAGTCAGATGAATTGAAGTGCACTTGACATGTTGCCTTATCATCAATCAAATCACATGGGGCTACAAAATAAAGACATTGCATAAAATTATTTGCTAGTGTATATGGATACATGAACACCTGGATGCATGATATATATACAGGTCAATGTGTATGTTTTACTCTATGCAAAGTAATCGCCCTGGCCAATCACAAAGGATACAGACAACTCAATGAACCAATCAAAACCAAAGTAAAATACATATGTACATGTAGCTGACACAAAGCCCACAAAAACGTCTGTGTCATAAATTTGGTTTTACATGTACTTCCGGTTGGATGAAAATGTGGCGCTAGTTTTTTAAGAAAATCATGTAGTGTAGTAATGCAAAATGAATTGCTTCTTGACACTCAAGTGAAAACTGACCAATGAACTTTGAATCACCTGGAGTGAACGACAACACATCACTGAGAACAATTCCTTGAAATCCTCCAAACACATACATGGTTCTGTTGAAAGAAAATATTTTTTTAATATACATGTACACAACCTTCTTGTAAAATAGACCCTTCGCATAAATGGCGCCTTAATTTGAATAACAATATTTAGGTTTCCAGACAAAAGATTTTACACATGAATGCGAGGCTTAGGACCTATAAGTATTGATATTCACCTTTAGGTGCCATTTATGCAAAGGGTCTATGTACACAAAGTGTTCTCATTTGAACTCATCACCTCAAAATAATGCAAGAGGTTTTTTCTGTTGTATTTTACAATTATTACAACAGTCAAGTACACAGAACACTACATAAACTACATGTACACTAAGAGTGCACTATACGGTATCTACATGTACATGTCTTTGAAGGAATTTCCTTTCACTTCATTACATGAAGTTAATATGTTTTTCAACCATACTACAAAAATAGCTTAAACTCAATCTTATTCCTGGCAATTTATAAAGCTACATGGGCACACCACACTACATAATTACCTATTGACAACAAATACATTTTAGCAAAATAATTTAAAGTAACCTTTTCAGAGAACAATCCACAGTCCTTTAGATTGAGAGCTGTTAATAAAATTAAATCTCAGCAGTGTACCTGTTGACTAGTAAGGCAGTATGACCATATCGCCCAGCATCTTTCAGACTTCCTGACTCATTCATTCTATGCCACTCATCACAGTCTAAAATAAGATTATTTTAATATCGTTGTCAAAAATACATAAACAAGGAAAAAATGTTACAATTGGAATAATTTTGTTCTACCAAGTCCCTACAACAATTAAGTCAGCTTTAATTTCCTTAGACACGATTTTGTAGACATACATGTACATGTACATGTATGTCAAAACAAATATCAACATCACCAGAATATTTACTGTTAAGTACCAATAACCATTAATTGCATTTATAATTACCAATTGCAAATCAAAGTTTAAAATCAATGAATCCTAACTGGAACATTGTTTTTTATACTTTGTCAATAATGAAGCGCACAAAGTCTAAAAATAGAATGCAAACTATTGGAACCCCACGAGAGTCAGACAACATAAGCGTGTTCTGAGAGAAATAGGAGGAAAATGAATGCCAAATTTTCGCTTTAAAAATTGTTTTAGGAACACTTGCTTACGTGCTTGAAAAATCATCAAATCTTCCATCATTCCCTTTTGTTTGTCTGAGTTTGGCTGAGTTATGATGTCACTCGCATGCTTTGCTATCGCGCTCAGCAATGGTACTTTGAGTTATTTTAAGGCCACATACAAGGAAAATTGAAAATAATAGTTTACTAAGATAGAAAAACACAAATGAGATGATAATAAACCTCACAGGAACAAGGATGGTTAACCTGGATCCATGGAGATGACTAATACGAACAACTAACTTAAAAAATTTAGGCCAAACTTTTCAAGATGCCCAAACTGTGACATAGCTCCTTTAAATGTGCAACAAACTCGCTTGGTTCAACTCACCTATGTCATATGCAAGAAAATCCATAGAAAAGCAGGGCAACATAGACTGTAACTGTGCTGTGCCATTGTGTGAATTACCACCAAACACAAGCATAACTTTACCAAGTAAAATGGCTGAATGGAGGTAACGAGGTACACTGCTACGTTTAAGGGATTTCCTGAAAATTTTAAAGAGGGCTGATCACTGAAAGATTTAAATAATTATCGTCTTTAGACTCACCTCAAGCTCAAAAGCAGACTCCAGCATTTTTTATTTGTTTAAACAAAAGTGATAATGAAAACTTTTGCTTATCGTTCAGCAGCAACAACATCAGTCAACTTAAGAACAAGTACATGTACGACAACAAGTAGGTAATTCATCCCTTGCAAGCCTGTTTGTCTGTGTCATATGACACTTCCATAGCAGCTGTATTTTGTCATGCAGGTTAAATCAAGTTTCTAGAATCTTGTTTTAAAATAGTTATTTGTTTTAATCACAATTTCCCCAAATTGTTAACCAGCACTAATACAAAATTAAAAGCCTATTGTAAACAGTGTACATGTACATTCCTTAGTGTACATGTACATGAACCTACATGTACCCACTGTATGTACTTTTGTGCAATTTTATCATCTAGATTTAAGTTCCATCAATTTTATATTAAGACAATATATTACATGACTGTATATTTTGTAACTCCAAGAAGGTGGGTCCCAGACAGCAGATTCGATTTTTGACCTCATACATGTATGACATTTTAAGAACCTAAAAGCACCTGTTAAATGTGCTGTTCCAGAAAATATCCATGCCCCTCCCATGGAGGTTTTTTTTAGTTTGAGCCTCCTCATCCCCCTGGAAATTCCGATTTTGGACCAGGCGTTCCTTTAACAATTTTGATCCTTGAGACTCCCCCTCTTCCCCCTTAGAATTTCCAATAACCCTCCTTAGGGTGGATATGGATATTGTCTGAGACCACACAATGTAAAACAATTTGATGTACGTTATAAGAACAGAAAACAAAACGGGGCTTTCAACTACATGTCACCCTCCCTTGCTCCCTTGTACCTACCAAACTCTTGTTATGGGATTATAGACAGTCAATTCTGTGGAAGGTTCATCTTTTGAGCCATATGAAGTAAATCCACCATGAACATATATTAGTTTTTTCACGGGATCATAAGCACTGCTATGTCCATATGTTGGTCCTATGATGTCTGTGGGGGTATCGTATACAGTCCACCTGCTAGTCTCTGGAATGTCAATAATAACATTATT